GCCAGTTAACCAATCAGAGCAGACTGGGCCTCTGGTTTCAGACAGAGGGTGAAAAGAGCTGCTGCAGCACAGGCAGTATGAGAAAAATAAAGAGCTTTTTGAACATTAAAGCATGCCACAGTAGAGTCACAAATTACAAATATGAAACCGGAAAATGAGCACAATAGGGCCCCTTTAATGATTCTTGAAGATGGCAGTGTCTGTAGGTCGATCAATCACTTTGGTCCAGAACAAAATATCTTAACAACCATTGGACGGGTTGCCATGTAATTTCCCACAGGTGTTCATTGTTTCCAGGGCATGTTTCCTAATTACTTTAGTGATCTCTGTATACCTTTTCGGATGCAAGATAAATTATTTTAAATTACCTCTCTGGTTTCAAGGTATGCCCTTACCTCCGCTGAGCTTTACTGAGGGGTTGGGGGGGCATGAAACAACCTGATGACCTCATGTTACGGGATGTGTGGTTGCTCTGCAGCCAGCACAATCCTCCACACTGCACGTACCATATATAAACATCTGCATCCGTGATACCTCTTATCACCTGTCCTGCATCTCTGTGGGTCTTTTGTATGGGACCTCCGCGAAGTGCTCCCGCTATGCCTGGTTCCCCCTGCTTGTACCTCTGCTGCCACAGAAATAACCCTGAAGAATGCCTTTGACAAGTGTATCGCAGATGTTGCCTTTTGTTGCCGGACTGGGGCTGTTTGCATGGATGTATGAAACCGACAAGCCAACACTAGCCACGCTAGCTGGCAGCAAACACTGGTCTTTTACCGAAACAGCAATAAACAAGCCGTCCTCGTGCATTGAGGACGTGATTTATGTGACATGTCGGCTTTCTCAGGGGCCCACAGCGCTGTTTTTATTTTTTTTACAGTATCTGGACAATTGTGAATCCATAGACATCACATTACCCGCATGTTGTGCCTTTTAGTTTATGTTAAACTTTTCAAAGGGAGTTCTGGGAGGAGGAAAGTTGACAGAGTGACGCTTGTTCTTGTTCTTACATTCCTCTCTTTCTCCCTCGCTCCAGGTGGGACCAGATGGAGAGTTTGGAGGAAGGATAAACGGGAGATTACCTCTGTAATGTCAGAGAAGGCCAAGGTTTGTCAGAAAGACACATCGTTGCCAGAAGCAAAGATGTCCTCTCCTTCTTCTCCTTCTTCTGCTTCCTAACATCTTCTGTCACTATCCATCTTTTTCTCACTCTTTGTATTTGTCGTTCTTCCTTATAATGAAATCACTGTCTCTTCAAATAGCCTTATCATATTTCATATCCACTGTAGAGACCACTATAAACCAGAGGATGAGTTTTATGTAGGTATATAAATTGTTAATGAAATCCATCCCCACAAGCCTCAGAACTGAGCTTTCCATAAAGCCATGTCAGCGCCAAAGCTTTCATCGCTAAATGATAAGCCAGTGGACAAAGCGTGATCCAGTGCGGAAAGGAAGCCGAGTTATTTGACTCAAGTATTAGTGAAAAGTAAGTGAGATCCCATTTGATGAAATAGGCTTAACACAAAGCACTGCTGTAGCTTGAAGCTTTGAAGGGATGTGTGTGTAATGTGCTCTCATACGTATCATCTGATTTTCTTTATCGTTTTTATATCTATATAGCACCCTGTCAACTTCTCATTAAGTACATATTGCATATGGAAGCAAAAGACCAAATGCCCAATGTCTCTGGTGGTGACCAGGATTTCTTTGTAAGAAAAACAAGAGAGCTCAAAGCCAAAAGCAAACCTGCACACCACTCTGTCAATATTAACTTTCAAGAAATAGCTGAGAGCAATACCTCATCAAAAATCTACTTAAATATCACTGTCATGGTAGTTAGCAGCTTTTTAGCTTAGCAAAAAGACAAAGTCAACTAGCCTGGTTCTGTTCACATCCAGGTTTTATAAAAATACAACTACCAGGACTGCTTAAACTCTTTATTACAAGGAGAGATATTCAGATATTTAATGTTCGACAAGGAAAGGCTAATGTATCTCTGTGTCTGCTGGACAGTGGATCGTTTGACCATGTCAACTTCAAGGTGATGAATCTCAATGTTGAGCTTTAGTCCCTGCCAAAGAGTGTCCAAAAAAGTGAATTAATGCAGATAAAACAACTATCATTTTTAGGTAACTGAATGAAAGCTTTTTAATAACAGAAGAGATAATATGGTTTGCTTTCCATGTCCTGGTTCTGTCCTCTTCACTCTTCTGTTCATTGATTAAGTAAATGAGTCCCTGTCAGCTAACATCTGGCTTCCCTCTCCTGTAGGTGCTGCTGTGGGTCCTCCTCTCTCTGCTGCCTCTGGTGGAAGGAGCTCATATGAAGGGCGGTGCTGCTGGTCCTGGATCAGATTCGGGCCCTGGCGTGGGGCTGCTGGCAGGCCAGGAGGAGCGAGAGCTTCCTGTGACGCTGCCAGAGGTGGTGGAGGACGAGGAGCAGGAAGACCACACTGACCCCTACTCTACTTGGCACGCTCTATATGGTACTGAGGCCCTTATGAAAGTCTTATTTACAGCTTCATCAAACAGTATTGGAGTGGAAAGAGGGCATGAGCCCGGGATCTGCTTTCTATCTCAGTCATCATGATATATTTACAGGACATAACAAGTATAAATGGAAAGGCTGTGTGACATTTCGTTTTCTAAACAGTGCAAAGCTACATTTGAATTAAAATGCTCTATAGCCAAACACTCCTTCACTGCAAACCAGATCAAATTAATATGTATTACTTTTTATTTTATTTACCATTTTAATAGTGTCCACTCTATGACTCGGCATGTCTTTTCAGATTACAGATGTTTTTATTAGTCATAGACTGTTATATGAGAATGTGCAAATTGGATTATAGCTCTTCATTTTTACTCACATATGTGGACAGTTATAATGCTTTATGAAGTCTTCATTTACATCAGAGTTCACATTACCATTCAAACAAATCCCCTATGTGCCTGCTGAAGATATTTGCATGTGTTTGAACTTTCATTGAAACTCTCCCTGTCTCCTTTTTCCTCTCCGTTTTAGACCCCTTCGTGATAGATGAGGTGGATGACCATCCCAGTAGTCGCTGGGCGGGACGCTTGCCACGCTCCTCTGACCCCTCAGAACCTCCACCCAAGGGATCACCAAAGAAAAAGAGAAAGGGGAAGAGGAAAGAAAAGCAGGAAGAGGAAGAGACAGGAAAAGCAGATAGGAAGGGTAAAGGTAAGAGCAAGCAGCCAAAGAAGAGCAGCAGGGACTGCCGGATGGAGAAGAGAGAGATGAAGGTTCGGGACCTGGGCCTGGGCTTTGACTCGGATGAGATTGTCCTCTTCAAGTTTTGCGTTGGCTCCTGCAAGGCCTCCAGAAAAAACTACGACCTGGCGCTGGATAGGTTGCTGGAGAACGGCTCTCTGCCCCGGCGCACCGCTCGCAAGCTCAGCAGACACCCCTGCTGCCGGCCGGCCGAGTACGAGACGGTCTCCTTCATGGACGCCCAGACAGCGTGGAGGACCATTGACTCGCTATCAGCCGCCAGCTGCATGTGTATGGGCTGAAGACATGAAGGAGGGAGAGGAAGAGGGGTGTCACCCATCCTGAAGCCAGAGGAGTTCGAGACGAGGGTCGCTCTAACACACACAGAGCACGGAAGTGACCGAGGCCACTTTTTGTGTATTTCCTGTTGAGGAGGAATCGTTTTGGCGGGAAGACTGAAGGTCAGAGACTGCCATCAGGGAATCACCATGTGGATTTATCGTTGGGTCTTCAAAGAGTGAATAACTTTTACTGAGTAAATAATGAAAATACTCCAGATAATACACATAAAAGAGACTCTATATGTGACATTTGTATGGGCGAGACCTGAAGGCCGAAGCTCGAGATATATCAAGATAAGACACATCTAAAGGACACTGTGTTTATATTCTGACTAAAAAAGACTGATTTGATGTTCACTATCACTCACAGTTAAGCCAGCTGCTCCCAAAAGGTATATCATTTTCTCCACATAAAAACAGGGACATGCCATTGTTTTGTTTCTATGTTCAGGTGAACTCAGCCAAATGGATGCCATGCATCTTCCTGTATTACTGTATAAAAGTAACATATATTTATTTCTGATAAATTATTTATTTATTATAGCTTCATATGAGAGCTGTTTTTATTAACTCTATATTGTAGATACATATCTATTTATTGCCAAGATTCAGATTTCATGTTGACAGCTACTTCTACTTCTTGCATGCAGTATGTATTTTTCTTCTTCAGGTCTCCACATTTATCCTACGCCTCATGGACCTATGGACAGCTGATTAAACGCTGCTATTTTTAAGATTACATTGGATAAAACAGAACCATGATCCAAAATCTCAGATTGATTTTTACATTTTTTCCAGACAGTAAAACAAATCCTATTAAATAACAAATTGACCTACATTGAAATGATGTGGAATACTTAATAAATATATGTTTTCAAGAGCACCTCACATACTTGAGCTTTGGCAATGATACCAGCTTTTCCACAGCACAGGTAGAATGTATGTACAGTAAACAGGTTAAACATCTACACTACAGGACCTCAACATTTCTCATCTTAAAGTTAATTCAGTATGTCACGTTATTATTATTATTATTATTTTATAAAGTTTTCTTTATTTTTGTATGGCATTATCCTCCAAGGGAATAAAGTTTTTTTAATATACATCTTGTAATTACTTCACTGATTGCACAGCTTGACTTCAGAAGTGTTTACTCCTTATGACATCCTTAATTATTTTTCTTTCAGCAGGATCAACACCTCTTTAGTTAAAATTAAGACTTTTTTTTAATGTTGTAGAGCCACCTGCTGGTCTAACATGTGAACCTGTTGTCTGGAGTTAGACCTGAAATAAGTCTCTCTCCTGCCATCTGTCTGTTCAACTGTGAATGTTTGAGCAGCTGATTTCTTGTTGGTAAAACAGAGGAAGAGGAAGAGGAAGAGGAAGACCTCGGCAGTATGCTTTCTTCTTTATTTCCCTGCACAGACCCACCAACACATCCAGCAAACACCACAGGTCATACAGCTCACAGCAACAATATTTGTTTTTAAAAGGTGACATGTTAACATTTGCAGATATCAAAACATTATGTGCAATATAAAACAAGATTGAAAATGTCTACATTCAATTTTCTCTTCATCATGCAACACAGGTAGAGTAAATTAGCAGCATTTCGATACAAAAAAGTCAAATCAAGTGTAACAACAATACATAATGAATAAACATGTATTGCAAATGGCACATATTGATTAATAGTGTGTAAAACTCTCAGAGTGTAAGAACATTTTTACCCATAGGGTATAATTATAGATTGTTTACATTTCCATATTTGGAAATTGCAACAATTGGCAGTGTACTTTTAGCAGAATTTGTAAAACTGTGAATCATTTTCAGCTAAAAGTTTAGCTATAGGTTAAGTTAAAATAGTAAGCACCCATAGACCATAGTAAGCCCAAAAATGCCATCCCATCTGTGACACCTTGCCCCTGAAATATTCTCCAGTTTCACTGTGGACACAAGGCAGTGTGTTTTTCTGGACCTTTTCTGACTGAAGACATGTTTTAGTTGATATGAAGAAGATGTAAATGCACATCAACTATTGTACTTTTTTCAGATCCTGAAGTGATCTCATTGTCTGGATTTTTCCACTGGCAGCATCATTTTTCTCACAGTTTAATTCAAATGAACCAGTTTGCTATGCACATGAAGCACCTACCCACATAGGAACATTACACTGGTGTTGGCACTTGGCAGTTGAATTACCAAGTGTTCATCAAAGGCATTTCGCTGACTGGCATGAACTCGGTGTGCTAAACGTGCAGGTGACAATGTCCACCTTTCTCACGTGCGCAGAAAGGGGCGGAGTCGCGCTGCCTCGTGAAGACTCCTTGACCTCCACTTCCTGTTTGGAGCCGGTTGCTTCTTCCTCATCACACCCAAGGATCGCCGTGCTCTCCACGCTGAACGGGTGAAAGTTGACCCGGGCGGTGTCGTACTCCCATGCTTGTCTCATGGCGAAGTCTGTGAAAGATTTATGATTGATGGACACACGTGCTTCCACATCGTTCCTGAAGCTGGCTGTGCGTAATGACGCGTAACTGGTATCATCGCTGTTTAGAGACGGAGGGGAGTGTTGACCTCCCACCCAGCCGATGTTGTCCCCACGAATGTCTTTAGTGTGCGACACTGTCCTCTTTAGCTTCTCGCAGCCCTTCAGCAGCAGGTTCTTCCGGCACAAAATATACACCCAGGGGTCTAATATGGGGTTGAATGAGGCGAAGCGGATGGCCAGCAGGTCGCTCCGGTAGTCAGGCCTCCCCCCAGCAGAGATGTAGGCAGGGTCGTAAAGCTGGTTCACGAAGATCCGCACCTGTCAGATAAAAAATTGTTCGAAAAAGGGTTTAATCACACAAAATAAAAAGCATAACTAAATGCAACAAAACTTTAACAAAAATACAGGGTCAAATAAAGTAACATTAAAGTTGTCCTTACCACTAAAGGGATGGAGCAGACCAGGAACACGATGGTCATGAAGATCATCAGCCAGAACATCTGGATCTCCGCGGCCGAGGTGACCGAGGGCAGCCGGGGGAAGCGGCGACGTGACCCCCTCTGCTCACAAGAGGTCCTCTGGTTCATCCCCACCAGCGATTTGCACACGGCCAAATTACACAAAAGTGTCACTGCGATCAGCACCACCATCACTCCGCCGTACAGAAAGGAGTAGCATGCTCCGAGTGAGTCCGTCGCCCTCCAGTCCAGAAAGCACCAAGTCCCGGGAAAGTGCCTGACGTGCTGCCCGAAGCCAAAGCTGGGCATAATGCACAGCACAATGTTAGCCAGGTAGGCGGCCAGGAGTGCAAAGCGCGCCATGGTCCGGTCTATGTGCTGGGAGTAGAAATACGCATGGTTTATGGCCAAGTATCGCTCCACAGCCATGGCGCACAGGATGGACATCCCGGCAGAGCCGAAGAAGAGCATGGAGAAGGAGAAAAAGTGGCACAGTAGCACTCCTCCCGGCCAGCGGTTGGCCACATATGTGGCGATCACCACGGGGCTGGTGAAGCATGTTCCCAGCAGGTCCGTGATGGCCATCCCGCACACCAGAGTGTAGAAAGTGGTCTCTTTCTGCTCCTTTTTGGAGATGCACAGCACGACTATGGCGATGAGGTTTCCCAGGACTCCCACGGCGAACATGGTGGCTGAAGTGACCAGAGACTTGGACTCCAGCCGGAGCGCAGGGAAAGCACTTTGGTTGTGGCTGAGAGCGAGAGGAGGCAAAGGCGCAGAAACATTCGTGTCCAAATCTCCAAAGGCAAGTGTGTCGTTGATCATTATTAAAACCAACACTACACAGAGGTACAGTGAAATTAACTTTCCGCGTTGTTTAGAAAACTTGCTCTGGAAATAAAGTCAAAATAAATCCTTAACTGTAACATGACATCCTGAAGTTTTCTCTTTCAGACGGAGCATGCAGTGCATTGCTTTGGACTGCTTGTTCTGTTCAGGTTCCAGCAGTGTGTTTGTCTCGCGATGCGCCCCTATGAAGGTGTGCCTGCTGTGTTTACACCGCTCGGTGCTGCTGGCATTTAAGCTGTGTGCTGATGTCAGGAGAATGACGTGCGCGATGTGAGCTCAGCGACCAGGGTTCCCAGGAACACATTTCTGCAGGCAAGAATCCATACTCCTTACTTGTTATTGCTCACTATTTATCAGCCTGAGAGGTCAAGTGCCAGCAGCTTTACACACAACGGAACAAACATATTCAATTCTGATGGCATGTCATACCATCACTCAAACACCTGCTTTTGTTGATTAATTTTAGGATTAAAAAACACCATAACCTGCCTTAATTTGCTTTATATTTTCTCTACATGAAACAACTATTATACAAACTACAATATCTATTTTGGTGATAACACATTTAGAGTGTCCCCACGCCCTAATGAGGTAATATACAAGTACATGTGAGATACACAATATTATAAGAACCTATGTGTTTTAATTTGAAAAATAAATAATCTGTGAAACCATATAAGGTGCAGAAATAGTATAAAGATATAATGTCATAAAACTTCAGCACCATGGTCAGCGCCTTAAATGCAATCAGCACCACACTCAGAGATAGTCATCACTCCGCTGCTGTTTAACCCCGCACTAAGGATGTAACCCTTTATTGATCACTGTGTGCCTAATGAGGTTGAAATCGATGGCACAACAAAGACCACTGCTTAAAAACACATACAGTTCTGCATGATTGTATCAGAAAATGTTACTAAAGAACTGACAAATTTGGTGCACATGATGAAAAAGAGCTTATAAAGTCTTGTTGTTTTTAAGCAGTACAATCCTTGAGCTCTATCTGACTTGTTTTGACTTCCGGTTATTTGTCTCATGCATGCAACCTTTTTTCAGACGAAACAGTATCAGTGTGCCTTAGAGAAGGAATCACTATCAACTCAATTGTGAGTTGCTTATTCCCCTCAAGCCTTTTCAGATAAATCAATCTTAGCTAAGCAGAGCACATGTCGTGTTTGAATTTAAAAGCTCCTTTTGATGAGTCTGTGGAGGTTTCTGTACGCTTATTCTTTACTGAACATCCCCCCACTGAACAAAACACTGCTGACATACACTATACACTGAAAGCTCTAATGAGGACAAACACTACAACCGACGTCAATATAGAACCATGCTTTCTTTTCACTGTCGGAAGTGTTTTGAGTTTTACAATGAATGAACCTCAGATCCAGCTGATGTATTTTTGCACCTGCCGTTTTGCTTAATTTAAAATGAGTGTGAATCACTGATGAATATGTCCCTGGGATGTTATTGTAAACCAACAAGAGTATTATCCTGGATCTTGATTACAACATGCAAGTTACATGTTAGACTTTATTATTGAAATACTGTACTGTGTAATCAGACATACAGTAGTTTGGATTAAATCGGCTACAGATGGTTATACGGATTATAAAATTACAATTTTGCTCTTCTCTAAATAGACTATTCTCCATCAAAACCTTTTAACTACACCAATGAATTAACAATGTGCCCTGCTCTTGAAAGCTATATACTCCATGATTTCAGAACACGATGACTTGCATCATCTTCGGGACTATTCTCCATCGTAACCTTTTTGAAATGCACTACAGGGTAGTACCTAAAAGAATTACCCTAGATTTGCCAAACCGCATGAAAACTTTTATGAGACTTGCTCCCCAACGACTTATCATAACCTTTGCCATTGGAGGTCAGTGCCTCTCTTTAATAATTTGAGCTCTATTCCTATTTTTATCAATCTTGCATGAGTTTTTTGCTTACCTTTTAACACCACCACACCACAGGGGGGTTTCTGGTACTCGTTGATATCTGGCTCAATCATCATTTTCTCCTATAGGTTTTTTCATGGGCTTTATACTGTTCTCCTCCTTATTTCCTTTGGAGTTTGTTTAATAAATTATACATTTTAAATATGCTCATATACATTCAATTTAATGAGTAATCATAATGAATAATTCAGAAGTTGAAATCACTCTTTCCTATGCGGTGCGCTATAGTGCATCTCCTCTGTAAAACTGGTTCTCTACCAACTGTACCTTCTGAACCTTGAGACTTCTCCTGCTATGCTTCTTCAGCGCTGAGTGATCTGTCAACCAGGGGCTCATTTTGTTCCGATTGAAAAAGCACAATTATTGTGAAATACACCTCCGATGTGCTGTGAAAAGCTGGCCTCAGGTGTCTTGATAGCACAACCATAGCCCTAATTCATATTCATAAGAATCGAGTCACTGAACTGGAACACGTCGGCAAGTTTTGCTATAAGGTTTGGTTTATGATGATTTTGAATAATATAGTAAAATGACTCAATGCAGACAAATTGCGATGTACCGAAGCCTATATATATATATGACCTTATATCATTATATAACTCTAGTATTTCACCTTTCTAGTTGCTGGAGGAGACACTATTGTTTTAACTGTTTTAATAAGGTTGGGTACTTTAAAATATAAAGGTACATTATAATTCTATATCATCGTATCATATATGTAATTTTAACTGACATGTATTATGGTTGAGTAAAAAGTGCAATATTAACCTATGACAATAAAAGTAGCATGTAGTGGGTGTGCTCAAGTAAAGTAAAAGCACCTCAAAATTGAGTAAATGTCTTTTGGTTCATTCCACCCCTGTATCTTCAAGGGTGGAAAAAATGTATCTTCTATCAAACTAAGACAAAGCCCATGTCTTAAACGTTCATGTGCTTTAGGAACAAATCATATAAAGCATATACTGTACAATGTTACCTGCATAGCATAACATAAAGTCAATCAATTAAGAAATAGTCAGTATATCCTATTCACACACACATATGAACACATACACACACATACATACACACACACTCTTAGTAGCAGCAGCAGCAGCAGCAGATAATCTAATCTTTGAAAATGAAAGAATTCATCATATAAAATGAGAAAAATGTCTCTCTATTGGTGGACGTTGCTGGATGTTGTGGCTCTCTATCTCTGTCTGTGTAAGTGGGTTCTTCTCCTCCTCTCATGGACACATGCCTCCTGGGAGTGTATGTCTGTGTGTGTGTGTGTGTGTGTGTGTGTGTGTGTGTGTGTGTGTGTGTGTGTGTGTGTGTGTGTGTGTGTGTGTGTGTGTGTGTGTGTGTGTGTGTGTGTGTGTGTGTGTGTGTGTGTCTGTGTGTGTGTGTGTGTCTGTGTGTGTGCGCGGGTTTTACCTTGCCTCTGTGCCGTAATAACCCGAAGCTTTCATACGTCAGCGTCTGTGATGCCCACACAAAGAAATACACTCTTTCACTCTCCACAACCACAACCTGAGGGACTCATGGCCGCCCACACTGAGCAGAGTGGAGAGGGTTTAATAAAGTTTCCTTCGGTGTGTGCGTGGTTATATATACGTAAATGTGTCATTGGGCTACTCGCCTGGCACATACGATCTTTGGGGATTCCCCTTTCAAATGACAGTACTTTAATCTATTTTCAGGCCCTTAATCAAGTGTCCTTGTAGGGTATGTGCAGTCTGGGAGGATGCTGGGAAATTGATACACACACATTTATTAGGCTGGCTGTAAGGGGAGATATAGGTGATTTATTCTAGAAACCACACTGCCTGGTTTGAATGGTTTAAGTTGGCCTCTCAGTTCTCACCAAGCAATGACGCTCAAGCTTTTGAAGATTGTCACTGCTTATTACGTGTATCTCACTATAATCGATCTTCTCTGTTGAGGGAAATCAATATGCAAGTGAGGTATTGATCCGCATGTGATGTGTTCGGAATCAAAAAGTCAAAGCTTATTATTTTGGCCTGACTGTTGACATATATAACTAGCAATTATTTGTTTCAAATTAATTTGATCATACAGTATGTGACCTGTTATTTAAGTTGGAACGCAATTTTTTTGAGCTGTGACCTTTTCAACTAGTTATTAATAATAAAAAAAACAATAGCTCTCTGTTTGTATTGGTTCAAAAACATCTTTACCTTATTTTTTCAGTTCATCCGTTTTGAAGGCCGGTATAAAAAAATAGTTAAACATTAGGGGAAATGCTCTTATTTGCTCTCTTGGCGCAAGGGAGGGTTGTTAGACCCCACTCTCATGTTTGTACAGTAAATATTAAGCAACAGCCAGGAGACGGTTAGCTTAGCTTAGCATAGCATAAAGACTGGAAACAAGACAACAGCTGGCTCTGTCCAACATTTTCGGTATAACTTCGGTTCATTCCTTAAAAAAACAAGGAAAAAATATACCAAGATTGTTAGAAATGTGCGCTTGTTTCTAAGATATCATTTCATAAATAATGAGATTCACATTTTTTTTAACACATTAATTAAATTAAAAAAGGTACTCTTTTTATAATTAACAGTACAGCTGCAGTGGTCCCATCAATTCTATACCAAGGCCATTTGGCTAAAAGTCAGTTATTCAAACCACCTACAGAAAGAAAATGAGTTGTTGAAATCTCAAACATTTGATATTTTAATATACTTTACAGCCTTGTCAAAAGAACAATAAGATAATTATAAGTATTCAAAATCCCTTTTTCTTTCTCTAAAGAGAGTCAGACAAACCCACCCACAGGTGCCAACACTTGTTGCTTTGCATGACGGACCTGCAGTTAGTCACAACGTTGAATAGGTCTAGGTGCGAAAAATGTGTTGCTTTCCTCTGACGTAGCTGAGCCCTGGGATGGTCTCATTAAGATGCTAATTTATTCTGTCAATGATATTAGCCTCCAGTTCACAAGCAATAAGGAATGTAGTAATAACAAGAGGTGCTTAAAATAGTTAATAATGAGAAAGAGAGAGATAGAAGACAGGTGAAATGAGCTATAGCCTCTTTGTTTCCCCATTTAGCTCACACTCTTGCTCCCGAGGGGTTCATAGAGACGCCGAGTTTCCTTCCTGGGCGAAATGAAAGACTGAGATGAGTTGATGGCTATATGTTAGTGA